CAGGGGCGGGTTCAGGGTAAGAGGGCCCTGCTCTCTTTCTCCCTTTGGAGAAAAGGAAGGTTGAATGTTCCTAATTCTCACCCACAGCTTCCTCACACATACATTTCAAAATCAAGAATCCATGTTCTGGCAAAAACAATTGAATTCTGATTGTCTGATTTTAAAATCATCTTGCATTGCCCTCACAAAAGAAAACCTATCTGTCTAAGAGCCGCCCTCCTACCACCCCCAACACACACACACACACACACACACACACACACACCACTGCTCTTCCTTCAGGGCCGTTCCTCTGCCAGTGACCCCGTGCCAGCCCTCTCTTCTCCATCCCACCGTGCTGTGCTAATGCTCTGGCTGTCTGCCCCGTGAGGGTGACCGCAGGCCACTTCCACTCCTTGCTCTCCGTGCCCCATGCTTCCGTGTGTGCCCCAGCTAGATGCGGGTTCCGCTAGAAGGCCCCTGCGGGTTGAGTGCAGGCTCTGCCTACTAATGCACCTCCTGTTCTCACCCCTCCCAGGACCCCACCAACGGCTACTACAGCGTCAACACCTTTAAAGAGCACCACTCGACGCCCACCATCTCCCTGTCCAGCTGCCAGCCAGACCTGCGCCCCGCGGGCAAGCAACGCGTGCCCACCGGCATGTCCTTCACCAACATCTACAGCACCCTGAGTGGCCAGAGCCGCCTGTACGACTACGGACAGAGGTTCGTGCTGGGCATGGGCAGCTCGTCCATCGAGCTCTGCGAGCGGGAGTTCCAGAGGGGCTCCCTCAGCGACAGCAGCTCCTTCCTGGACACGCAGTGCGACAGCAGCGTCAGCAGCAGCGGCAAGCAGGACGGCTACGTGCAATTTGACAAGGCCAGCAAGGCCTCTGCCTCGTCCTCCCACCACTCCCAGTCCTCTTCCCAGAACTCTGACCCCAGCCGGCCCCTGCAGCGGCGGATGCAGACTCACGTCTGAGGCTCTCGGGCCGGGGGAGGGACGGACTGTGGCAGCCCGGGAAGAGGCGGTGGCGTGATGGGTCGCGACAGCCCCTGGGCGCCTGGGCCATCACCCATCACCCTCCTTCCAAACCCTTAGGAAGCACAAACGGAGGCCGGCTGCGGGGCACCTGAGCAGTCCACGGCGGATGCCGCAGAGGGCACTGTGCCCCTCCACTACCTGCTCCTCCCACGGCACGCGTGGCAGCGAGAACTCTGCTCTAATGGAACTGCCGTCCACTCTCCGGTCTCTCCGTGGGCTCGCCCGTTACTGCCCATAAGCCCACCCCTGTGCAGATGCTCCTAACTAACTCCAAAGAGAAGGGGTTAGGGGCAATGTTCTTCCCAGCACGGAGCTGGCCCAGGGACCCCAGCTCCCCAGAGCCCATCGCTGGAGTCTGAGAAGCCAGAAAAGGACTTGGCCAAAGGGGTTTGAGGGGGTGGGACATCCCTGGCCACTCGGGCCAGGAGCCTGCCCTCACCTTGTTTGATGTGGATGTGTAGCCTCTTGCAGTTCGGTCCTTGGACTTAATGCCTCAGAACTCCGAAGTGGTGCTCAGAGGGATGTGGGAGAGGAAGGAGGCGGGCGAGACTGAGCACTTGGGGACACTTGGCCCAGCATCCCCCTCCCTAGTCTGTGTGATGCAGTGTTCCCACCCACCCCTGCTTTGTGTACCCCGCTCTGGCCCCACAGCACAACCGGCGTTAATATAAGAAGTGTGAGGGCGTTAATATAAGAAGTGTGAGAGCGTCTCTGGCGAGGGTTTGTTGAAGGCGCTGGAGAGCGTGTTTGCCAGAAGGTGTAGCCGGTAGAGTTGGGCTCCCTGAGGTATTTAGTGGGGCTGTAGCAGAAATGCCACACCTGGGCGCTTTAACAAACAGACACGGACTTTCTCACACTTAGGAGGCAGAGTTCACAGTACTGACACTAGGGGAAGGTTTCCTCTTTGTCGGCAAAAGAGGAAGGGTCTTGTCTCTTCTGAGCTTCTGCACCTGGTGACCCCGGGGTGGTGTTTCTGTTCCCCATCTCTGCCCAATAGCTTGCATTTCATCTTTCCTGTCTCTGAAGCAAGTGACTCGAGACACACCTGCACTAATCAAGTCTCATCAACATAAAAAAGGCAACTCATTCTCAAATGGGATTATGACCACAGGCAAATAGGTGAGGCTTCTGTACAGGACGTATGGGAGGTAGAGGGGGGGGGTATGGGGGGGCATGGTAGGACACAGTTCAATCCCTACCAGTGGAGATGAGGGACCGGTCTTTAAGATGATCTCTCCAGCAAGAAGAACAGTATACCTACACCTCACCTCACTCACCTTGCTCACCAGCCCAGAGAGAATCAATGGCAGGGCCCGGGCGCAGACAGGCAGCCTGGGCTTGTGATCCTGTGCAGGCAGAGGAAGAACTCAAAGTGCGCTTTGGGGCCTGAGGCTCCATGTCCTTGTTTGGTTCCATTTTCCTGTCCAAGTGAGGCCGTGGAGAGCTCTGACAGTAGGGCCTACATTGCAGTCCTGCCTTTTTTGTGGACGTGCAAAAGCAAGGTTAGCCAGATTAACGGACGCCAAAGCCAGCTAATGGGCAAAGGGAGCATGCTGAGTACTGGAGGGAAGGACTGTTTATTCCAGGCCTCTTCTCTCAGCATTATTCTGCAGGGGACGCTCCCTCCATCGCCCACTGGGGGAGGAGGACCTGTTGAAAGATCCTAGAGCACCAAGCGCCCTAACACGCTCATATGAGATTCAAATAAGATTCTTAAACAGGCTTCCTTGGGTGGGAAACTGGGCATGGTGATGGCAGAATGGCTGGATCCAAATCCACTGCCATCAAGTTGATCCTGATGCTCACAAACCCTAGGTGGGGTTTCTGAGGCGTGGTACATCGTTACAGGAACAGACAGCCTCATCTTTCTCCCACAGAGCAGCTGGTGGGTTTGAACCATGGACTGGTGATTAATGGTCCACTGTTTACCTGATAGCACCGCTGGGGCTTCTGAATGGATGGATAGATGGGAGCAAACAGAAGTGTTCGTTCCGGGGACGGGACTCAAGTGGAGCTTTGGAATCCAAATGGCAAAAAGGCTGGAGAGTCCTCATACATTTGAGACCTCCCTCCTCCAGCCTTCACTGGCAGCCCTTGCCATCATGGGAGCCTTCACTGAAAGCAGCGCGGGCTTCTTTCTGTATATTGATTCCTCGGGTGGGGGCCTGCCCACAGACGCTGTGCTTAGCCTCTATCATCCTCCACCCAGAGTGGTTCTGTGCTCCAACCACATTTCCTTGGCTTCAAAAATCCCCCCGTTCACTGCACACCTCCCGTGCCAGGCCTCAAGACTAACGCTGTAAAAACACATGAGAAATGTCGGAGTAACATCCAAGGCCCCCATCATGCTTCTGGCCAGGGCACTGACCTCGGCTTTTCTAGATTAGTCTTGGCAAGCTGCTGCTTTCTCGTGTTTTCCTTTGGTGAAAAAGGTCCCTGTGGGGGACAAATAGATTGTGCTTGACTCAGCCTAAAGGTTAGTGCTTTGAATCCCACCAGGTCTACATAGCAGGAAGGCCCGGTGATCTGCTCCTACCAAGAAAAGCCATTCTACGCTCTCACAACATTGATTCAACAGCGACGGGGTTTGGTTTGTGTCTGCTGTGTTGGAGGAAGACCTTTGTCTCTTCAGCTGCTGCTTCCTGGTTGCCTGGAGATCTCCGTGTGACTTCTCTGTCTCTGTTCTAATCCCTGTTATATCGCAAAAGAGATTTCACTCAAGTGCACCTTACATCAATCCTGCCTCCTCCACACGACAAGGATAACCTATCCCCAAATGGATTTATAACCACAGACACAGAGGTTAGCATTTGCATCACATAGTTGTGGGGGAGATGGGGGCGCACAATTCAATTTATAACAGATAGCTTTAAACTTCCTTCTTGGCTCAGAGGCACTGGCTGGGGGCCCAGTTTCTAAGACTCAGGCTTGCTATCAGTCTGCAAAGGGTTGAGTTGTTTCCACCGCCTCTTCGGCTTCCAGGGCATAGGAAGTGCTATCACACAAAGAGCTAAAAGACCCTACCAGACCCATTGGTGACCACATCCATTTAACAGAGAGAGAGTAATAATGCACTAACAGGCCTCAAAGAGCCTCGTCTCCCAGCTTCCTGAGTGCAAAGGACCCAAAGGCACGGAAACAAACAAAGGGCATCCTTGGGAGACTTCTCAGAAGGGGAGAAAAGGCGCCAAGAGGAATTCCATGTCTCACTTCCTGAGAAGGGAGGGCCAGGCACTGCTTAGGGCCTTGGCTGTTCCTGAGTCAGAATTGAATCACAGGGTACATGCTCCACAAGTCTGATTAGCTCTTTCCAGGTATTGTGTGTGCAGTTTTGAATGGCATTAGATGACAGATGGAAGGAAGCCCTACAATGAGATGCTTCTCTGGGAAGGAACTTTCCCTGTAAAATTGCTCTTAGTTGACACCTCATCAGCGCCAAGCCCTTGTACAAGAGAATGCAACGTTACCCAGTGCCCCGCCATCTTCCTGGTCATTGGAATGTTCAAGCCCATTATTGTGGGCACTGTGTGCCCCTCTTCCGGCTATCATCAAACCATGTCCTATTGGGATTCACGGGGTTCTCGTTGCTTCTTTTTTGGCAGTCGATCAGCAGGCCTTTCTTCCTAGTCCCAGTCTGGAAGCTCCACGGGGGACCCTGCTGGTATTTGAAACATCAGTGGTATGACTTCCAGCATCACAGTCCCACATGATGCAGCAATGTGAAAAGCATCCCATAAAATACACTATTTATATAATAAGCATATATGTGTAAACTAAAGACTTAGTTTGCACAGAAGGATTTATTGAAAGTATAAACAGACCAATGCCATCTCAAGGAAATCCCGAGTTTGCCTCCTCCCGTAGAGTTCTTTTCGAAGCTCTCACCTAAGCAGTCTGTCTGTAGAGACGTAACTATCTACCAGCCATCCGCAACTTTCACATCCATCCTTGAGACGCAGAGGCACTGATGGAGAGCCTGCCCTGGGACAGCTGCTTCTCATTCCCAGCTCCTTTCCCGGACTTCTGGAGTTCCCTTCCTCATCAGGTTATTCAATGGAGAGAAAGCAAAAATTCCAAGCTGCTCTTCTTTCTAAAAACAAGGATTTATTTTCCTCGGTGAACACCTTTTACGTGTCGAGGTCGGGGCCATCTGTTGTTGGCCTGTCTCCTCTTCTTCTTTAGTCATTTCCCAACTGCCTCTTTAATGGCGAGGATAGGTCTGAAAATCCATTACTACAGAGCCTGCAGTTTTAGACACGACCACAGCCTGTCTTTTTACATGAGTTTCTGAGAAATATCTGGTCACAAGATACATCCCTGGTCCCATGTTAGTGTTTGCCATGCTGCTGTGCTCCGCTTTGGGACAATCCACTCAGCCCACCCTTGGCCTGAAAGCTTCCCTAACTCTTGATCAGGGAGCCCCAGGCATCTCCTTTGGATGTCTCTCGGCTTTATGGCCCTGGGAAATAGGCTGGAAATGCTACAAGAACATTCAAATAATGCTATTTAATGCCTGTCTTCTTTGTGGTGAATCTTAGGGTCAAACATACAAAGAAAGACCTGTTTTAAGACAAACGAAGTTTCAGGAAACATTTTCTTGTGGCGTATGGGGCCACAATTCAGTGAAACGTCTCTGAAACCTACCCAGCTGCGAAAAAGCAAAGGGCTATTCGAGATTAAACGTGGAATAGAGGAAAGGATTCCTCCCCTGAAGGTTGGGCAAACTGCCCACTGCCATCCAGTGGAATCTGATTCTGCAATCCAATAGGACTGCTTATGTAGTTTCCAAGACGATAAATCTCCATGGAAGTAGACAGCCTCATAGTGCTCCAGATGAACGGTTTGGTGGTTTGAACCACAGGCTTTTAAGTTCTCAGTCTTTAAAACCCACTGGGCCATGAAAGCTTTAAACACACACAGGGAGGACTACATGAAAGAGGCTTCTTTCACAAGGCAATTGTGCCAGGGCCCTGCTGCCCTGACTAGAAATAGTATTTGTGACACTAACAAGCGTTCTGCCATGCTAGAACTACTTTAATGGCACATAAAGCCACAGAGGGGGAAAAAAAAAAAGAGAGAGAGAGAGAGGGAGAGAACGGGACTGGAGAGACTCTCCCTACTAGACTTTCATTAACTGGTGCTCTTGTTTTGTTTGTTTTTCCCCTCATCCAAAGAAGCTGTTTGCTCAGTGAGAAGAAAAGCACGTTGTGAAGCAAGTAGGGGTACTTACCTGTGAAAGCTGGTAGTATCGTAGGAAACCTCAGAGTAATCAATTGTACTGGAATAGTATATTTAGTTCATCAGTTCTAGCTTCAATCCCTTAGGGCTTTTGCAACACGGGGTCTTCTCTCATTTCCACCACCCTGCTCTATGCTCCCAGTCTTACAAGGCTCCTGAGAGGAAGTTAGACCTCTGTTGTTGGTCTTCCCTTGATGTAAGAAATGCCTCCCAAAGTTTGTTGTTCCCTAAAAACACTTCTGTTGCCCTTTTACACTTAGCCTCGTAGACAGGACTATGTCTCTCCTACTTAACTTGCTCCCAGTTCTCTGCTGTCCCTTTAAGAAGTGGCACCTTGCAATACATTTGGGCTCCCCCCAAGTCTGACAACTAATGAGACTCAAGCGTCATGCCCCCTGCCTTATTTCTTGGGAAACCCAAAGATGGCTAACAAGAGAATTAAAGCCATCAGGAAATCTGGCTGCAATTATACACACGCGCACACAGCCCTCCTTAACCAATACCTTGAAGCCAAACAAAAAAAAAAAGATGTGATTTCCTGGAGCCACATTTAGTATGGAGGCATGCGGAGTGCTCAAATTGGACAAATAGCGTCTGCAGCTCCGATGAAAGAAACATTGTTTCATGAAGACATGTAAGGGTCGGAGTTGAGAAGACAGCTGACCACCTCTGAGGTTTTACTTCCTAGACTTAGATTCGAGCTGCATGCATTGAAATGAATGTCTCCCATGAAAATGCTTTCTCTAAGAACCCCAAAAGGTGTGTGTGTGTGGAAAAGCAACCTGGAAACCACGCGACAGCCTCAGTGGAACCCACCACTTGTGTTCATTGGTCAAAACCTGCATTTCAGTTCGACCTTCCTCTCCTTACTTTGTCCTTGATTCGTTTTCACAAGCACCAGGACACCAAAAATCTCGTCGTGTCGTGTGCTGTTTTGCGAGATCAGCTGGACTGCGGCGTTCTGGATGCGAACCTGCAGTATCATGGCTGGCTACAGGGCTCTTCAGTAGCCAGTCATGACACGCCGTACCTGGGCAAAACCTGGTCGAGGTGTTGGCCCTACCAACATGCCCGCCTGTTTTGCACTTTTAATTTTCATTATGCAAGAGGATTTCCCAGTCTCATCTTTATAGCATACTTAACAGTCTACAAAATGTTTTCACAACCATATTTCCATTAGATCCTTAAAACGTCATTGTTCAATAAGCCTGTGTATCACCATTTACAGGCACAGAAACAGGGATTTGCCATGCTAATTAAATGACAGGGCAGGGAGTAGCACGTATGGTCCCACCCCGTGTGTTGCGTGTGCATTACACCTCCAGCCTCAGGCAGAACGGCTCTCAAGCTCACACTGTGCAGACTTTGGGGGAAGAGCACTTGGATGTACATGTGTCCTTCGAAAATGTAAATAAAACCCGTCAATGTCCAAGCTTACGGCACACCATGTGACATGAATAGAGTCTTTGTCAGCTGCTGTGGAATGGACTCCCAGTCACAGGCACCCCATGCGTTCCAGAGCGGAGCCGCCCCAGTTCCCTCGGCCAATGTAAGGGAAGCAATTCCCCAGGTCCTTTCTTTCCCGCTACCATTGGGTGGATAGCAGGGCTAGTGCAACCTTTTCTCCTTCTACTTAAAGTTCTGGAGCTGGACACACGCTCTAAAACCTTGTACTGCCCAAATACTTGGTGGAACAGGGAGCCCCTTCCTTTATCCGGGTCTTGATGGTCTCCTCTCTGGGGCAAGATTGGGCTACTATTCAATGGATTAAACAGAAAAACCCAACTCACTGACACCGAGTCAATGCTGATACAAGTGGCACTAACTCCCCCTCCCTGCCCCCACCCCCCGCGGCTTCCTTCCGAGAGTGTAACTGTTTATAGGGGTTGAAAGCCCCGTCTTTGTCCCGCGGAGCTGCTGGGGGCTGCAACCCGCCGGGGCGGACCGCAGCCCGGCGGTGACCACTACCCCACCCGGCCTCTATGCCATGGGCTGCATCACGCCGCGCCGTCCTAGTCTGAGTGTGTGTCACCCGCGGGCTTCGGGAATGAATTCGGCGCGAGTACAAGCAGGCTGTCCGAGAGTTCTGAAACCACTTTCAAAAGCGAGCTAGGGCAAACACCGTGCACCCGGGCACGGCACGTAGCGGAGGAGGCGAGGCCCCGAGCTCGTGTCCTTAAATCTCTGGCTAGAAGCTTGCTAGAGGGCCCCAGAACGGCAGCCTCGGAAAGAAAGGGGAGAAACCTTCTCCTTCTCCCCCACCTCCCCGCCCCCGGCCTCCCAGTGGGATGCGTGCAAGGCGCATGCGTAGCGGGCCCGCCGCCAAAGGGAGAGGAGTGAGCCACGCAGACCGCAATCCCGCGCCGGAGAGAACTGCGCCTGCGCCTACACCGGGGTACACCTCTCAAGGGCAATGGGCGATTAGGAGGGATTTACGAGGGAGGCGGTAGGGCTGAGTTAAAGAGATCGTTTTGGAGTCTAGCCTTCTAGAGCAACGTTCTAGATGCTTGTTACAATTCCAAGTTCCTAGCCCCATCCCCAGCGGGCTTAATCTCCCCAGATCATTCTGGACTGGTCCCACCCTCTTGTTCCCAGGAATATAAAAACTGCAACATAGAAGCAGAGAAATGACTGGCCCAAGGTCACATGGAATGAAGTCAGCGTCTCATTTCTGGATTCACCCGCCTCTCCCAGTTTCATATGCAGGCATCCTATTGTGCTTCTCTTTATTGTGTTTTGCAGATTGTGCACTTGTTACAAAAGGAAGGTTTGTAGCAACCCTGCACAGAACAAATCTGTCTGTCCGAGTCACTTCCCCCACAGCATGTATGTCTGCCATTTTTGGTAATTATCGCACCATTTCAAACTTTTCCAGAATAGATAAGCACAAGGACGCCAAAAACTTCGTGCCGTGTGCTTTTTTGCGAGATAAACGGGATTGCGGCCATCCGGCCTTGAACCCTCAGTATCTCTGAGGTATTGGCCGCCTCCTGCGGCCTCCTTTCAGAGTGGTTTGATCGTGCCAGTCTGGCCTGGCGGCAGTTCATTCACATTGTTTGGGCTAGCTGAAGCAATGAAGTCCCGTTCCCAGACCCCCAGGGCCCCATCCGCAGTTCCACATCAAAGCTCCCACTGATACTTCTGATTCTTTGCCACCGGGATCGCCTTAATCGGCTTAGGGGTTGGAGCACCCTGGAGGAAGCTGTGCCAACCCACCCAAGGGCACACCATCCAGCTTGGGTGCAAACACACCGTCAGATGCTCACACAGATCCAGGCTCCTCCCCGTGTGTAATCACAAAGGGCCATCAACATATGCTGTCACGTCAGAACCCAGCAAGAATGTTAAAATGCCCCCATTACTATATTCACGTCTATGGATTAAGGGGTGCAGGGGGGTGGGGTGCATGATCCACCCATGTGGGTTGGATTCTGGCTCGTTCACAATTGGGCAGCTGCCCCAGTCCATGGCAACTGGGTCATGTGTGCAAACAGCCACGTCCAAGGGCCTGGCTGGGGAAAGGGACACTCCCTCGCACATAACCCTCATGAGAAGCAGCTGAGAAGGAACCATCAAGAGTAAGGAATGCCAAGAGGCCCCCCAAGACTCCCAACCCAACCCTGCTGGGCCAGCCAGCCGTGACTCCC